ATAGCTGGACTGAATTGACATTGTCTCTTGGAGTTCCTTGGGCTAGGCCTGACATCAATCTAAGAAAATGTTTATCTCCCTGAGCTTGGCCTTCATAATTCCATTCCATCACATAGGGTGAGACAAATGGGAAGCTTTGACTTCCTGCTGACATGCGGGTGGGGGGGGAGGAATTTGATTTCCTTCTCACAATCTCTTCTTTTTAGACCACACATTCTTCTTAATTCCCAAATTTACAAATTCATCAATTTAGTCTAATTTTTCACCATGTATGCATAACTTGCAATCACTCACACCACGTCCCCTGTCAGAAACAACTACTTTGGACTTATATATTAGTGTTCAAATGTAATTAATGTAATGTAATCCAAATAATTTAGATCCTCAATCAATAACACAGCAAGCCATATTCATGCAAAACATCCTATAATTCAAGTCTATTTACTTTACCATATGCTTTCTCTAAATCAACAAACATACAATAAACCTTATTTCTCTTACTCCTAATGCTATCACTCCTAATGCCATTGCTCCAAAAGCACTGTGTACTTATTTCATCATCAATTCCTTATCACTACCTATAACAATGATTACTGTAATAGATCTGGGCTGCAAATCTGTATGATCTTTAGATGGCAGGAAAGAATTTTCTGTATGTCTTTGCTGCCATGTAGCCGTCATCTACATGTTTGCAGCCCAGATCTAGTAACCCTACTGTAAGTATACTGTGATTTCTAGCTAACAAAGTCTGTCTGCCATATGAATACAAATTAATACATATCTCAAATAATTTTAGCAATATTGAGTTCTGGATTTGTTTATGTTTACTTCTTCAGGTTACTCTTTATTTCAGTATTTGCAAAAGACACACAGAGAGATTTCACTGAAGCTAGAATTTCTGAATCTCAATTTTTTCAAATTTTAATATATACATTTTTATAGCATTAGGGAAGAAAAAAAATAAGAAAAGCGAGACTTCCAAAACTGCAGAACAGCAGAAGGTAGATGGATTATTTTGGGTGCAAATTCATACATTAATGCAGATTAATATTGCAATGAATCCAGAACTATTTTTATTGGGTTTTATGGATGCTGTACTAGAAAAGAAATATGGGAAACTAATATTGTATATGGTAACTGTGGCAAGAAGTACGCACAAAAATGGAAGAATAATGGAACATCCACAGTAGAGGATTGATGGGATTATAAAATTGACAGAGCTCGTGGGTATGGTAAAGCTGACCATTCTGGTGAGGGAAAAAATGACAGTCTTTTTTAAAAGGCTGAAAGCCTTGTATGGACTTTTTGCTGAAAGAAGAAAAGACTGAACTGATGACTTATGGATTTGGGGATTAGAAAGGGTTAAAGAGGGAAGAGGAAAAGTAAGGTGGCAATTACTCGATAGAAAGAAGGGTAGAAGTCAAAATTCTATGTTTTTTTTAATTTCTTTTTTTCTTATTTCCTATCTTTTTTCTTTTTCTTATTCTTCTTTTCATTTTTATACTTTTACTATAATGTAAAATTCTAATTAAAATATTTTTAAAAAGGTGGATGGATTAGCATTTTGTTTTTTAAATATTAGTTTTATTTTATTAAATTTCAGTAACATTGCAATTAACATTTCTTTTAAAAAATATAGTAGTTTATGGTCATGTTGCTATTTAGAATTAGCATTTCTGCTCGCATCTCATTCAGAATCACTTGTACTACTCTAGTATATATATCTACATGAAAGTAGAAATATGTAGGTTCCACAAACGGTTATATTAAGGCTATTTCTCTTTTTCTATTTAACACGTACGGCCACTTCCCTATTCTACTTTTGAGAACATTTCCTTTTTATACTGAACAGAACACAGCAAAGATATATTTACCATTCATAATCAAAGCCTTGAATAAACCAAGGCCAGAACAGAGTGTCATTCCCCCCCAAAAGAAACATTTGTATGGGCGAGGGGAGTAAATAAAAATAGGATTCTTCTGTTATACTAACAACAATTTATGACTTAGCAAATTACTGTTAATATAAAGGAGGACGAGATAATTTTGGAGAATGAATTTGAACAAAAATAAAGAGATGAAATAAATAGTATATAGTCCCACCGTTTTCAGTGATAACATTTCCCCTTTATCATCCTCTTGTCAGTGAAACAGACACTGATAAGAGAGGTGATTATGAGCCATATGCAATTCAGAGACAAGGATAGAAATGGCTATTGCGGGTGGTGTATCACATTCTTAGTAAATATAAACCACCATTAAGACATTTGGGATACTGTATTTATTTTAATAACATAAGAGCACGTAGAACAGTTCTGCATTAGTAACATCATTTTGCATTATTAGAAACAGAAATGGAACTGATTTAAAAGAAATTGTCCTGTTAACTTGGGGAAAAGGAAATTTCAACATACCATATTTACTCTAGGATTGTATTAGAAATAGTAGGAGAATGATGCATCTGGTTGGAAAATTTAGCAGATTCTGAATTAGTGTATGTGTTATGTTCTTTCTGTAATAAACAACGCTTTCAAGGAAGCGATAGATGTGTTTGCAAAAACTGAAATATATTTTGTGATTTTTACATTTTGATATTTCATATGTAAGTTTCCTACATTCTTCTTCACCCCTTGGAAGGAGTCCTTATGGAATGCATAGATTGCACATACAGATGTACAAACAGACAAGGCAGAAATTACATTATGATTTTACTTCAGAAATTAATATACTGGAATTTTGGAATACTGCTTCTCAAAGTATTATTTCTGAGAACGCTTTTCCCTATGTCTCATGAACATAGGGAAGATAATAATAAAGAAAGGCATACATTTGCATTTGTTCTCATTTGTTTCTGACATCTAGAAATATACAGTAGGCACAGGCAATATCTTCTTATGACATGTCTTGATTCATTTCTTCTCTTTCTTTGGCTCACATTATTATGGATTATATGATTATATATACTGTTAAATATTGGGACATTTCATGCCTAAGTAGATAGCTGAAATCCATACATTTAGAGTCCAGACAGTCTTTTCTGATCTTAGTATTTTAAATTACAAAAAGAACTCTAAACAAACAGTTTTTAAGCTATTTTTATAGGAGCCATTATTCAATGAAAAATAGCCAGACTGGAATAATCACAGAAGAGGTGAAATGAGTAGAAGTGGTCTTCTCATACCACTTTGGAGACTATGTGAACGAAGCAGCCACAGGCAATTCCAATCAGTGAAGTCTTTCTGCTTAGGTCATTCTCCATTCTAACAGCTGGATGGCAGTGGGGTTTGAAAGGTATCTATGCACCTCTTGCATACATGCACATACAGTGGCAGCAAGAAATTGCACCATTGCCACATGAATGTTTGTTGAGTTCATCAAATAGATCTTGCACTTCAGGTGTCGTCTTTTAAAAAATCAATGGACTTCTTGCCAATGACTTGAGGAGGTGTATGGATGTCCTCAGTATGACATTTCAGTACCAATGAACTTGGTTCTAACTCCAGCAAGTCCCTCTGTAGAACTGTTAACTGCAGGTGGGTTTTCAGAGGGCAGGAGGCCCTATTAAAGCAGAGTGGATTGTAATTTGAGTGAATTAGATGTATACCTTTCAGTTGTTCACCTTCTATTCAGGCAGTATATAAACAAATGACATTGGGAAGGCACCTTTCCTATGAGGGTGCTCTTCAATCCTGCCATGCTGAAAAAAAACAAAAAAAACAAAAAGTAAGACTGTTTTAACAGGGAGGGTGAAAAATGCACAATAATTAGAAGCTCCTCTAGAAGATATACATGCATATCTGTATTTCTGATCCCATCATTTTCCACATGTTGGAATTGGGATATATTAGATGGGATGAGTCTTTACTTAACTGTTACAAACATCTTTAATGCTTATCTTGAGCTCTGTTTTACCTTTTCTTTTGTGGCAGACAATTCTAAATACTGCTGGGCAACTGAATCTATTTACCATTTTTATTTTCTCACAATGGTTCCAATATAGCATTAATCCAAGGTATAATGGAAAGTTAACATAATGGTTGGAAGATTATTTGAAAAGTTACAGGCCATCTAAAACCAGATGCTAAATACTCAGAATATTTCATTGCCTGCTGCTGCTCCATATAAAGCTGCCATGCCATCCATTGCCAAAAATGGGCCCAATGACCCAATAGGAAAATTCTTACAGGCTCCTTCACAGAGCCTTTGCCCCAAACCTGAAGTTGGTCTTATGGGATGTGTTCAGTGCACAGTAAGGAATTCCCAGTAATAATCATATAGAGAAATAAAATTGACACCTACCCACCAGTTGGAGTCCTCCTGTCCTTCTACTATAATGATTTCTCCAGCCTTGAAAGTGAGCTCATCTTCACGATCAGCCTGACAATCATAAAGAGCCCTGACACGATGCAGACTGGACTTATTCTGCCATAAGCAAACAATATCAAGCTTAGGGGTATGGATACTGTATGTCATATGTAAGGGATATAGTCAGTTATACAAGCACAAGGCAAATAAAAAAGAAGAAATGGTGAACTGTAGATATCTTTGAGGTTTTAAAGATAATTTATATATTTGTGCATCAGTCTCATGCATCCATCTAGCCAAGCTAATTGGACTTTTATTGGTACCAGTTTATTGAATGAAATCTCAACCATATTGTGAAGAAACCTAAACATGTGAGATGAGACCATCACACAATGAATTTCCTAAACTCTAGACATTTTGGTGCAAGTGTATGTATATTCACTGTGACAGTATCAATTTTTGAATTGAAAACATTTACAGCCAACAGTTAATAGCCCCAAAGTTAATCTTATCATGGGTTCATATATATTTTGACAGCATCCTGGAGATTTCTTATCAGAAGAAGAGAGTTAGCTTAGTTCGTAAACAGGTATTCTAAGTAAAAGGTTAAAAAAAATAACCAGTGAATATTAAGACTAAGAACACACCATGTCTCCCCTTCTTGGCAGTGGTGGAGGAATATCATCTGATGATTCAGGAGACTGAGAAGAAGCCCAGTGGTTCTCTCTTGAGCTTTGGTTTGGCTCAGAAGGAATCTTCATTTCTTCTGAGGCAGCTGCAATGTAAAAAGATATGTCCCTCTTATTTTTGGATGATTCTAAGTGATTATGCAGAAAGCACCTATTTGTACAGCATCTGGTCTCCACACAATATGGGACACATAATAGGTCACTTCTTTCTGAAGAGAAAGACAACTTTAGCAGTCTGAGTTACAGAACCAGTGTTGTTGGTTGAACAACCTGGTCCCCATAATAGTTACTTGCTGAATTCCTGAGAAATACAAAAATATTGTTTCCTAACCACAGGAAATCATAACTTCCTTCCATTTGTCACTGATCAGACTCTTATCTTAACTACTGTGTTCAGTTCTAGGTACACTTAAATAAAGATTGAGAGAAATTGGAGCAGAGGAACAAAGATAATTAGGAGACCGAGGGTTGATGTTGGGATGTGTTGGAATGATGCCTACAAAAGGGCACTTGAAATCTGACAGGGTGCAAGAATAGATTTTTAGTTACTCTATTTTAGGGTAGGCTTATTTGTCACAATGTGATGAACCTAATGCCGGAATCTTTTCCCCTCATGATACTGTGCACTGTACTTACACTTTTGCCAAAGCTACACTTGCTGGGAGGGTCAGAGCTACTATTTATTCTTTCTCTCTGAATTTTACTGTTTGTGCCAAAACCTTGATACATGCTATGAGGAGAAGACATAATTCTAGAAACTTTTGAGACCATAAATGAATCATAGTTGAAAGCCAATCCCAATGGCCCAAAAGTGGATAGCTGCCAGGAGAACTAATCCTGAAGAAGAAGAGGTGGGAACCAGTTCCACGAGCCTTAAATATCCATAAGCCACTTAGGACGCTGGCACAATGGCCCAAAAGTGGATAGCTGCCAGGAGAACTAATCCTGAAGTAGAAGAGGTGGGAACCAGTTCCACGAGCCTTAAATATCCATAAGCCACTTAGGACGCTGGCACAATGGCCCAAAAGTGGATAGCTGCCAGGAGAACTAATCCTGAAGTAGAAGAGGTGGGAACCAGTTCCACGAGCCTTAAATATCCATAAGCCACTTAGGACGCTGGCACAATGGCCCAAAAGTGGATAGCTGCCAGGAGAACTAATCCTGAAGTAGAAGAGGTGGGAACCAGTTCCACGAGCCTTAAATATCCATAAGCCACTTAGGACGCTGGCACAGATAGAACATAATACACTGGACTGGAGAGAGCAAGGACACACTTTTTGCTGGAGGATTTATTGTGATTCTACTCAGATATTGGTGGTGGCTTGCCTACCAGACTCTACAGTGTAATGATCCAAAGGCATTAGTAGTTTTGTAGCCCATCCTTCCAAGGGCAAATTACATGTATCCAAACAACACAGGAATTGGGAATAATACATGGAAGGGGGCATGAATGGATGAAGATTGGGGAGCAATACAACAATTCTGAGCAAAACTGCTATGCTCATCCTCTCCTGCATTTAACCTATATTAATCTGAGCATGCATCCTCATTAGAACAGAAGGTCAATAAGCCATATTCCTTTTAGCCCCAATTAGGATGCAGATGCTTCTCTGTTTATTTGAGTGAGACAGCAGTGTGACTGTAGACACCTCTGGGCAGTTTTTGCTGGAACTAATGAGTGCATAAAAGGGAGATGTGTATTACAGTTTGGAATCACTACTTATGTAATAGTAGCTGACCATATCCTATTGACCTCTGAGGTTGATGTGCTACTAGAGACATAGATGCTAATATGCATTGAGAGCTGACTCTTCCAACACTGAGGGAAATGACTGAGGGGAAATAGAATAGCATTTTTCAATATCTATAGAGATTTCAGAAAGAAGATAACAATCTGTTCTTCCATAAACTGAAATGCAGAACTTGGAATAATGATTTTGCTTAAGGCAAATTCTGCTTGAACATGAGGAAAAATATCCAGTTTGATAATGAAACTTCCTGTTTACCTAGATTCTCCTTCACTGGATATATTCAAGCGTAACTGGGCAGCCATTTGCCAAGAATGCTTTAATTTGGATTGTTGTATAGAGCATGGGATTTAATTTCACAGCCAAAATGGCTTCTCTCAAATACATAGAGCCACCGTAGTATGCTATAAAAGCTGTCACTTCCATCACAGACTAAGGTAGGCAGCCTTCGTCATCTGGTAGACCATATCTCAGTGTCCTCATAGCTGGTGGGCCTCAAGAGATATTATAGTGGTTGTTTTGCTTTTATTGTTTTGGGGACTGCTGTTTTTAAAGATGGGAATGGGATCATACAAGAAATCAAAAGTCTTTATTAGGACTGAACAGAATTTTGGAAAGATCTGTAGCATCTCTCAGGAATACTTTAAAGCAGTTAGGAATACCGTGAAGCAGCTTAGGTTTTTTTTTTTTTCTGGGATCATACGGCATAAAGTAGCCACTTTATCCCAGAAAAGAAGTTTTTTTTTCCAGTTAGAGTGTTTAATGTGTTCCACCTGTATCCACTCAATCTCCAATTCAGAGATTTAATCAAAAATCAATTTTGATTATAATCAAAATTAAAATTATTGACCAAAATAATTTAGAAATATATTATTATTATAAGATAGATTGTGAAGTAGGTGACTTTGTATGTTAAAGAATTTGATAATTATCCCTGAACTTGGTATGGGAGAACTTATCCCTATTAATTTCTAGGTGCTATCCAAATAGAATGTATAATACTCATATAATTGCACTTCCCATAGCACTACAATAATAAAACTTGAAACTTTTCACAGTGATAAAACTTGAAGGGGTATTTTTTCCCCAGCCCCCTCTCCCAAGAATTGCAAACAGTTGTGTAACTTGAGTTTTTACACAACCTAAATGAGGGAAGAGGAAAGATATATCAATCCTCAGCTACAACTAAATAGTGCATTTAGAAGAAACTATCTTACCTTGCTGCCAGGAACCCACCCCTTCAGGGAGTTCAGAAGGCTGAGAACTGAGGGAAATAATGAGGGTGGGGAGGAAGAGGGTCAGGAAAAAAGAAAAGTAAGTTGAATCATCCTCTACTTCCTACTGGAAGTGTCTGAATGATAGCTGCTGTCTAGATATTCATAGGTCAGTGCAAAGTAGCTTAAATTTGCATTGACAAAACATACTTAAAGATTTCCACCAGTCCCAACAGCTGGCTGGTGAAGAAAAGAAGACCAGTGTTAACGACTATTCTGGCCAGAGTAGCTTTTATATTCCCACTGCCAACCACCTGACACACAATCAATTTAAGTCTCCTGTGGGAGCCTACCTAGTCTCTATTCAAGATATCAAGACCAGGATGTACACTCAGAACAAACCTAATTTCAAAACAGATAGCACTTTCATTCAGTTTTGCATATCACATATACACAATTACCTCAAACTCCTAGGAGAAGCTCCTTCTGGAGAGCAACGTCTTGGAAGTGAGAAAGATCTAGAATCTAACAAGAGACAGAATCAAAGCTATTTTTTCTCTTTTACTGAATCCAATTATGTCTAATGAGTTAGAAACAGTAAAACCAGTGTGAATTAAGTTTTCTGTCTCACATAAAAACTAATTTTATCAATGTTTAACATATTAGCACATATTCAGAGTCTATAAAATGCTCATCAAGTTAGGAAACATCTGAATCACTGTAACAACTTGTGATAGTTACAGATTAAGTCACTAAAGCAATAAAAACTAGTTGGCGACTCTGCTGCTGGCCACCCTTCATGCAGCCTAGCTGCACTATAGAAACATTATGAGAGTTTAATTTTTTTAATTTCTAAGAATCTTGAATCCCATATATCCTAATATGTCTTGTTCAGATTTCAAATAATAGCACCTGGTACATGATTTTATCTATTATACATTATATTGCAGTGCCTCATCTACACAGTTTATAAAACCAGTAAACTTACAACAAAAACTATGTGCACTAAATACGTTAATACATAAAATCATGTCACCCACAAAAATCAGCTTCTATCCAAACAGTTGCTAACAATTGTCTTACATATACCATTTGAAGGCTCTGTGGAAAAGGCTCTGTGCATTAACAGCCCTCCTGTTCTAATCTCTGGGCAGGGCCAGCTTTAGGCTAGGGCTGAGTAGGCACTGGCCTCGGGCACCAAGCTTAGGGGGCACCAAAGCTGTCCCTCCTTCGAAAAAATTCTTCACATTGGAGGAAGGTGGTGCCATCAATCAATGTGGCCTAGGGGCACCATATACTCTTCAGCCATCATGTTAGTCTAGAATGAGGGGGCTAGGACCAAGCAGGCTTGCCTCTAGGCTTCCATCCCCTTAACCTCTTGGGGTGGAAGGGGATTCACAACATGCTCTCTCAGTCAGTGTGTACTCAACAGGCATATTCTATCTCAAATAGTTGTCCTGAGGATAGCAAGGACCCAAACCATAAAGGGCTTTATAAGTAGTAACCAGCACCTTGTACTGGACTTGGAAAGCTACTATCAGACAATGCAGCTCTTACAATATTAATGTTATTCTGCTGTAGCAGCTGTTATTGGCTGCCAGTGGATTTTGCACCAGTTGTAGATTCCAAATTATCTTCAAGAACAGTCTCACGTAAAGTGAATTGTAGTAATCCAGTTTCAAGATGATAAAGGCATGAGCTACCACTGCAAGAGCCTCCTGGTCTAAATAAATCAGTGCACCATCCCAAGCTGGGCAAATGCCCCCTTGACCATGACCTCTATCTGCTGTACTACCAGGAACTCTGAGTCCAGGAGCATCCTGAGATTGCACACCTGCTCCTTTAGGGGTACTGCCACCCTATCCAGAGTTAAAGATGGAAATATCCTGGAATACCAAGGGGTTTTGAACAAACAACATCTTTTGTCTTGCTGGAATTCATCCTAAGCCCATCCCATCCCATCCCATCCCATCCCATCCCATCCCATCCCATCCCATCCCATCCCATCCCATCCCA